TATTTCTTGTTGTGTTATAGAGTCAGTTCCACTTGCATATGCCTTGTTCCCAAGTCGTATAGGGGAGAGTGTTGGAAACTGTAAGATACGTTAATTATTGTCAATTTGATTGACATTTATGAGGGATTTCGTTTATTTATACATAACTAAGCAAACCTGTATGCAGCACGTGTTTCATCGTCCTATATATGGCACTGTTCCAGGTGCTTACAACGGGACGTTGAGTGTGTTTCCTTCTAATAAGCCGAGAGTTGTGAGTGGGAGGCAACTGAAGCGTAGTAGCAAAATTGTTGAATCAAGCGAATAAATCGTGAGTTTATAAGGAAGTGCGGTCACGTTTTAGACAGAGCCAGAAAAAGTGGATGAGCTGGCGCCTTAGCTGTGGTAGCATTATGATTTTAATAAACGTTCATTAAGGAATATATTTTCGCTTGATCAGTTCCCCGTGAAAAATTAATCTCATTGTGTATAATAAGCGGTGTAACCATGGTTTCCATTCGTGATCACCATCATGACGGGGGAGTCTCTTCTTTATATATCCAACCGCTCGTCGACGGATTTGGATGTAAACTCTATTTCAGCATTTTGATGAGGGAAAATACCATGGGGGTGCGGCTGTTTCATGCAAATTTTGACAGAGGTGTTGTCTCTTCTCTCGTCAATAAATGTTTAATGAGTCATTCTAGTCTATTCCCTTTCTCAAAAAAAGGGACAAGTATAGCTCTCACTCGAAGAACGACAATCGAGGAAATTTGATTTCAATGAAATAATATTCATTATTTTTTTGCCTCAAAATGCGTTTTGACCTAACGTCGTTAAGACTGAGAGATACCAAATATGAATGACTGAATGTGACCTGCATGAACGCGTTCATCAACTCCATGAGAAAATTGCTATCATAGTTCAAAGGTAACACAGCTTGAAAACAATTTCATGTCTTATGCACACGTAGAAAAACTGGTTATGGGTTTCCCGGAATTGAATACCACAATTCCCTGTTTAAATTAAGACCAACCTTTTAGCGCCCTCAAAATAATTACTAGGTTTACAGTTGTCATTTAACATTATCGTTTTCTCAAAATAAAAATTATAAAAAGTAAATATATGCTGACTGTTTTATTTACCTCTCGAAAAACCTACGTTTTAA